CCCCCCCCCCCCCGAGCGCCTGGCTTTCTTATTTATTTATTCCACATGATTATCCACCCGGTTTAAGTGCTCTTGCCCTCAAACCTCCGGGCAAAAGGGAATTCTTCGCTCCCGGACGCTTGGCTGGGAAGCGGGGAGAAAAAAACCCGCCGGCTTTTCCAGGCTCCGCTCACCTTAAAAAGCGGGGGAACCGCTCGAGAGGAAGAAGGGCAGGCGGCCGCCTGCTTGCATTGGGATCAGTTTAATGCACTGTATTTTTTTTTTGTTTTGTTTAATTTGTATTTACTTAATTGCAAAGGTGTAAATATTTTGTACAGAAAAACACAAGGGTGAGCAGAGGGTCTGCCCTGCCCGCGGGGAGGGAGCCCAGCCGCCCCCCCCCGTGTGTGTGTGTGTGTGTGTTTTGTTTGCCACGGCTTTTGTTAATTTATTCTTCCACTCCTCCCTCGACCCACACGCTCACGCTCCGCCCCCTTGGAAGCCACCCTGCAAGATGGATCTCCACTTGTTTTTAAGAACTCTTTGGCTTTTCTTGTATTTAATAAAGGCTTACTTTTGGTGGAAGTGTCCTTAAAACCGCTTTGTTCCTGGTCTGATGTCCGGGGGGGGGGCGGCTTCCAGTGGTCACAAACGTCCCATCCACCCCCCTCCCTTTCCTGCGCTGCCAGATTTGTGGCTTCTGGGCACTCTTGGATCAAGCAGATGTTGGTGGTTCTGCGCCACCCCCAACCTGTTTCCTGACTTTGGGGGGGTTGTTGCTTTTGCCTTTTCTTCTGAGGGTGCCCCCAGCCAGGGAGCGCCCCCCCGTCTCTCACGAGCTCCCCCTCATCCAAAGCATCGGACCGTTTTTTTGTCCGGGAAGCAGACGCCAGACGGTGCCATCTCTGGAGCATCTGGCCAGTTGTGCCCTGCAAGGCGGGCTCGTTAAATGTTGATGTCACGGGGAGCTCTCTTAATCCGGCTTATTTATGGCAAGTGGCAGGCACCCCAAACCGCGGTCCTACAAGCAGGAGCAGCACTAACTCAAGATAGCTGACCAGAAAATACAAAGTTTATTACAAGAAATTTAAAACAGTCTTTAGCACAGAAGAGTTTGCGCAGAGAGGAAGCCCAGAGAGAGAGAGAGACAGACAGAGAGAAGCCCGGCCCTGGGCAGGCGGAGGATCCCCGCCATCCGAGAAGCTGGCGTGCGTCACCCTCACACGGCTGTCTTAGCCAACGCTGCTGGCTCTTCAGGCGTCGCCAGGGTTGGGCGCGCCCACATGGCCTCGATCCAGAAGACGCCAAGGCCCAGCACGCAAAGCAGAACATCGAAAAGAGCTCAAACCTGGCCTACGTGCAGCTGGCCAGGAGGGCGGAGAGCCGCGTCCCCACCCACCTCAACGCCTCCGTCCCCAGAGCAAGACGACGCTGTGCGTCCAGAAAAGTGGCCCCACCAAAGGCCCCGCTGCCTCTCTGGCCTGCAGCTGTGACCCGTGGGACCGCCGTGGTCAGGTGGAAAGGAGGCACACCGTGTATGGCCGTGGGCTTGGGGGAAATGGAGGGCGCCCGTCCGGCCTCGGAAGGCCCTTCCCCTTCTTTACTCGTCGTCGGGAGAGTCCGCTTCGGCCACCCAAGGTTTAGCCTGTGAAAGAGGAGGGGCAGGGAATCAAAGGCGGAGGACAATGTTCAGCAGCTCCCGACCACGGCTGGGCTCAGCTGCGCTAAAGCTACGCTCCAGGAAGAGCCAAGCCCACGGCACGGCAGCCCACCAAAAGAACGGGACATCCTGTTTGGCAGACATTGGACAAAGCAGGGTGTTACTAGTCCTCACTGTTGGCAAAGGCACATCTGACCGTTCAGCAGGGTGGAGGCGCCATCGAGAGAGACCTCACCCCCCCTCTCCCCGGGGCTCAACTAGGCAGGAGTCGGCATATTTGAGAGAGGCGGGACACCCTCTTTCTTTCTGATTTGGAGAACCAGAAGTTGGCCAAATCAAGTACATCAGCACAACTCAACGAAAAGCCTCTTTCATGCCCTTAAAACTCTCTTTAAATGGCAGACGCTGAGCAGAGGGTCTGAAAAGGGAAAAGCAAAGCTTTGGAGACGACTCAGAGGCACCGCCGGGCCCTTACCTTGGCAAGGTTGTGACGGGCGGCTCTGGCAGGGCTGTGGCTTCGTTCCGACCTCGGGCTGGAGGAGAAAAAGGAGGGAGGGAGAGGCAAGACACCCACCGGGATGCATCAGTGAGGGGCGGCTCAGAGCGTTTCCAGGAGGTAGCCCCACCCTCCACCCACGCAACTCGTCACCGAGCGACATCCAACCCATCTATGAATCCCACTTTTAAAGCAGCAAGAAACCCCGTGACAAGACGTTCCAGCTTTCCACCCCGACCCGTGGCACTTAATGGCTGGCTGACCTTGTCTTCTGCCGCCCTCCCCGAGCGGCCCAGCCCTCCTCCTAAGGAAGGCTGTCCGAGACCTTCCGCAAACGTCCGTTCCCAGGTGCAAGGGTGGGAAATCATACCGTAGGGAGAGGAGGCCATTCCCCCCCCCACACACACACACACACACAGAGGTGGCAGGTAAAGGGGGGGTTTCTCCTCCCTCCCCCCCGGGTCTCCGATGCACTGCAAGGGAAGATCAGGCACGGCCAGGGGAACACCTACCCAGGCCGAAGGGGAGCAGTCCCCGGGAAGCTTGGCCGATAGCCGGGCTGGGAAGAGCGTCGGGGGGCGGCAGCGACGGGGGGTGGTCCCCTCGGGCCCCGACTCGGGATCCGTGCCCCCAGGTTCTTCGCCTTCCCCGCCACAGAGGGCCCCGCGTTGTTCTCTCTCCGACTGTCACCGCCGAGGGAGGCTGGCTGCGTGACCCGGGCGGCCCCCAAACTGCCCACCCGGGGGGGGCTGCCTTCGGCCGGCGGTGGGGGCTTCGGCCGCCTGAACTCCTCCAGGTACTGAGGGGAGATTTCCCCTAAAATGGAAAATAAGAGATCGGGAAGTAGAGGGAGGAGAGAAGCCATCGGAAGCCACAGAGCCCACCTCTGGCAGCCTTCCCCTCTTTGGTGCAGGAGGCAGATGAACCCCCCAAACCCCACCCGCAAAAAACCTATCCTGCTTCCTGGCAGCCAAGCAGGGCCTCGCCTGCCCCTCCCCAGCTCGGTCCACCACAAAACAAGGGCTGCACCTTGATGCCGGCGGCGTCTTTGGGGCAGGTCGGTAGAAAAGGGTTTGCACCCGGATCCCTGGTCCCTTCCCCTAAAAGGGGTTTTCCCCCCCAGATAAACCAGAGGTGGGTCTCTGCCCACATCCAGTTGTTTCAGGGAGTGGGGTGGCTCTGAAAAGGTGACCAGGGCAGAAAGGGGGGTCCCCTCTCCCTCCTCCCCACACCTGGTTCCACACCCTGCCCTGTCAATCTGGAGCCTTCCCCTCTTTGGTGCAGGAGGCAGATGAACCCCCCAAACCCCACCCGCAAAAAACCTATCCTGCTTCCTGGCAGCCAAGCAGGGCCTCGCCTGCCCCTCCCCAGCTCGGTCCACCACAAAACAAGGGCTGCACCTTGATGCCGGCGGCGTCTTTGGGGCAGGTCGGTCGAGTCGGTCTTCTCTGGATTCTCCGCCGGGCGCGGGGTCCCTGGCTGCGGCAGATCCCTTCCCCTCGAGGGGGCGGTGGCCGGGCGCAAGTCGCACTGGTCCTGGCGGGAGGACGAGGAGAGAGGGAATTGCCGGCCCCCATGGCAACCCAAGGAGGCCGGGCGGCTTTTCCCCACCGCCCCCCACTGCCGCACTCCCTACCTGGTGGTGGAAAAGGATCTCCTCTTCCAGCTGGACGCCGCAGAATTCGCAAGGGAGCATGAGACTGTCAGGGGCCTCGGCCCGGAGGGGGAACGCCTCCATGGCGCCCGAGGGCCGCCCGCTCTGGAATTGCTCCCACAGGTCCCGGAACCGCTCCGACTGGGAGGTCACGGAGCCCCGTTTGCTGAAGGAAGCCAAAGCGCTGCTGGGGTTGCAGCCCGTCTGGTCGATGGGGAAGGGAAGCAAGCCGTGGTCAGTTCCCTCCCTGGAAGGGCTCCATGAAGGGTGGGAACGCCCCACCGCAGAAGCTGCCGGTCCAGGTGCTGGTCTACAGCCAGCCTGCCTGCCCCTCTTTCTAGGAGCGCCACCTCCACCCCAGGGCAGAAAGGCAGAAAGGATGCCTCCTGGAAGTCCTCAGAACATAGCCCTTGGGTTGATTGCTGGAATGGAACCTCCCCCATCATCCTTTCTCCTCTGGCTGAGTGTAATGGGCATTGTAGTCCAACAGCGGGATTCACAAACCCCACCCCTCCTCCCGAATTTGGCAGGAGAGCGGCCCGCAGCCCCTCCTCCCTTCCTCAGGTCCCCCCCCCTTCTCAAGGAAACACAGAGCGACGGGACACAACCTGGTGAAGGATCAGATCTTCCTCCGAGTACAGCTCCTCACAGAATTCACACGGCAACCGAGTCTCATCTGTGGGGCAGAAGGAGATAAAACCACACAGCTCATCCTGGGGACGATGGAACCACGGCTTTGCTTGACTTCCCACACGGCAAAGGAAGCGCGGGCCCCTCCCAGGGTCTTCCCACCCATCCCCGCAAAGACGTTTCTATCGGGGCTGAAGACGGGCAACGTCTGTGGGAAATGATTTTGAAACTAAATCTTCTGCCCTGATTCCTCAGGGCTCAAGCCAGAAACTCTTTCCTTCTCCCCTCTGTTCCGACGGTGCTTGGCCCCACGAGGTCTCTTCCAGACCTTCGCCAAGCACACCTCTTTTCTCCAACAAGCCAAGACGGTTGACTTCACAACAGAGGCCAAGGCTGAAGAACACCTGGTTGGTGAGGCAGGGGAAGAGGAAGGCCCCGACCAAGCCAAGAAGGGTGACTGACGGCCTTACGTGTGGGCTTGGGGGGAGCGCCCGACGGCAGCACATCCCGGGAGAAGACACTCGCGTCGTCGGCCTCCACACAGCGGTCGGAGGAGGTTCTTGTCTCTGTGGGGTAGAGGCTCTTCCAGAAGTCCCCCGAGGCCTCTGCTGCACGCTCCTCCCGGGAGCGGCTCTCCTGCTGCAAGCTGAGGGCCAACAGGTAATCCAGGTGGCAATCCAGATCGCCCCCAAAGGGCGAGGGAGCGGCCGTCTTTTCCAGCGGGGCTTCCAGGAACAAAACACAAAACATTAGGCACTGGCTCGTTCTTAAGTTATTCCAGCAAAAACACTTTCATTCTCCTTTTGGCTTTGGAACTCAACTTCATCCTCGGCGCGCTCCCCGCCCGCCCTGAACTAAAAAGCCGTTTGTTAGAGATTGCGTGGTACGCTGCTCCCTCCAGCTCTGCTTGAGATTTCTCTAAGCTTCCCCCTCAACCATGTTTTGTGAAAACTCGACTCCGCAGCCTGAAAGACGCAGTTACCTCGATTCCGATCGGGCCAAGACGGAACGATGTTCCTCCGGCTGAACTCCCTGGGCAGCCGGTCCCCCGCGAGACAGTTGTACAGCCTGCCCTCTGGAAACGGGTTCCTCTTTGGCAGGAACCCCACGGGGTCCTCTGGATGGAGGAAGCGTCTGATGGTCTCAATGTTCTGCAGGTCCACCTCCGAGTTCAAACGGGGCTTGGTCTCGGCCACCCTCGCTTCCTCGGCCTTTTCCCCGCAGTCCTCGGGGTGCGTCTTCAGGTCTCGCACCAGCACGTGGTGGCTGCACCGGGGGCACCGCTCCGTCCGAGAGCCGCAGTAGTCCTCGTGATCCTGGAGCTTGTTGAAGGCCAGCTCGATGTCGCAGTGCTGGCAGGCCACCGACCGCAGGGGGCACTCCGCAGCCTGGGATGAGAGAGAGCAAAGCAGGGCGGTTGGGTTCGCTCCTCTGAGCCGCTTGGCCAGGAAAGGCAGAGGCCGTAAGACTGGGAGGGATCTGGAGATTTCATGCTCGGAAGCCGACCTATCCACCCTCTCTCTCAGAAATGGGGGCTGCAGATTCCCCTAGGTAGGACCCTAGAAGAGAGGGGCGTCTGCAGCGGTGTGAGTTCCAGCAACGCTTTACTAACGTCACAGAATCAGAGCCAGGAAAAAGCCAGCTTTTCAACAGGAACACAGCTCAGCACATGCGGCGAAAGAAACAGGGCGGGCCCACACCCTGCAGTCCCAACCCCTCGGGCAGGAGCGTCGGGGGACACTCACACAATCCTCCTGTGGGCGACGCCACCCTTCCCGTGGTGTTAGAACGAGCCCGGGCATCTACTGCCAACAAAGCCTACCAAGGAGTCCTCTCTTGCTACAGAACAGCCCGTTCCTCCTTACAGGCCTGTTTTAAAAGGAACCGTGTGTGGCTGCCCCCTAACTCGGTACCAGCGTCTGTGCTTCACACACCAAAGTTTTGGTCTCTCTCCCCCACTGACCCTCAGCCAGCGCCAAAGGGCTCCCCTCGCAGCTCCTGTTTCCCCTCCCTCCCTCCTGGACTGGGTCATTGGCTCTATTTCTGTCTGCAAAAGGTCACCAGCCGGGCGGAGAAGAGCATGACTCACTCACTCACACACACACACACACGAGAGCATGACTCACTCACTCACTCACACACACACATACCCCAGAGCGGTGCAAGTGGCTGCCATGCCAGGAACACCTTGCCCGCCCTCCCGTCATCACAAAGGAAAGGCCAGCCCACGAGAAGCTTGCTCACCTCATGTTCCTGCAGGCACCCCTTGTCCATCTTCATGCCGCATTTGCAGAATACCTTAGGAGGGAAATGCAAAACTCAAACCCAGGAAGAGGTGGGAGCAGGCCCTCTCGCTGACCAAGAGGAGGCACGCTCGTCGGGAGGGAGAGGGGCCGTGCGTGCGCTCACCGGCGTGTGCTCCTGCTCTCGGTGGTTTCTCATTTCCGATTTGGGGAACGACTCCTTGCAGACGGGACACACCCCGATGTTTCGGCTGCAGTGGATCTCGTGGATGGTGAAGTTTGCCACGGGGATCTCCTTTTTGCTGTAAACAACGACAACAACACCGTGTGGTGCTTGAAATAGACCTACCTCGCCAGCTGGGACACAGGTTGAGAATTCGACTTTCGGGGGCTGTCGATCCTAACAACATTGAGCGAGGGGTTTCCCCCTCACTTGACTCAAGGGGACTGACAGAAAAACAGCCTGTTGGGAGATGGGGTTTACCTGGGATGCCCACCATCCTCCACCTGCTCTGTTTTGTACTCCGGGAGCACCTGGAGGATGGCACAGTCTCCACCTCTGCAGAATTCTTTGGGTTTCTCACACACACACATACACAACACAGCAGTCTACAAGGCGTAGAACTATAACTCGTAGGTAGAAGCTGGATCAGCCCCTCCAGGCAGACCAGAAACACACCTTGCCCTCAAAACACATCACAAATAAGCCTCACCCTGAAATTCAGCAAGCACGTGATATAAACTGAGCGGCGAGAGAAAACCAACGTTACCAGTCCCCGGCAGAATGATACAAAACTCAAGAAGCTTGGCTTTGATGAAAAACAGCCAAAACAGAAGGGCCAAGATTAACTCGACCCCACCCGCTAGATTACAAAAGAGAGCATGGCCACCTCACCAAAAGACAACTTTTGACGGACTCTGCCAACTTATTATCCGTCGCAATGGCTTTCGTGACTCGCATTCCTGTACGGCTTTGTTTTTTTTGACGAGTGTGTAGCTGCTTAGAGCACCGCGTTTTTAGCAGGAAAGCAGAATCCTGAAGCACGAGAAACTGCTGCACAGACGTATAAACTGGGAGACCACAGGATTCAGGCATAGCTGCTTAGAGCACCGCATTTTTAGCAGGAAAGCATAATCCTGAAGCACGAGAAACACACTGTGATAAAGACAGGTTGGCCCCTTTTGGGCTCTAACCCGCGGCAGCCTTTTTCCCAATTAGCACGCAAATCGGTCCTGCCGCACAGACATATAAACTGGGAGACCACAGGATTCAGGCAAACGGGAGGCGCCTCCCAGCCACTCGGGTTCACCTCTTTCTTACCAGTTGCTGCACAGCTGGGTTTCACATCCCTCTTCAGCCACTGCGGCCATCATCGCCCGGCTATTCTGGGAGCTGGAAAGGAAGGGAAGGGGAGGGAGGTCACTTTCGGTTTTTGTTTCCCCGGCCTGCTTACTCATTCCCCTCCTACACAGACTCCCTCTGCCCAGCAGCTCCCCCGCCATCCACCGGCTGGGCTTCCTGCTTGCTTGCAGCGTTCAGGTATCAGCTGCAAGAGGATAATTGCACGGAAAGCCATTCAATCTCCCTGAAGTCCACGGATCCGAGGACAAAGTAACAAACCCACACAGCTGAGAGCCCTCACGGTTGCTTGGCAATGTTAGGCGTGCATGTGGAGTCGGGAGGAAAAGGATGACATTTCGGGGGGGGACACCTGCCTTTTCAATGCATGTCTCCCTCTCTCCCCCCCCTCTCGACAGGAGCATAAAGATACCATTTTAAAAAACCACCTAGCCCAGTGTCGTGAGCTTTGCAGAATTGAATCTGAGCTTGAATAAGCCACCAGGCTGACTACAATTCCCAGAATCCCCCAGGCCAGCAGGGCTAGGGTCCCAAGTTACACAAAGCGTGTGTCCTCAAACCGGCCCAGCACAAGACGGAACGCCATCTCCTGCTCAGTTAAAGAGGGTGTCACAGACGGAAAAAAACAGCAACACAGAAAGGAATTCTCCAGCTGCTCACCTCGTACCAACTTAGAAAGAAGTGCTGTACAGAAAGAAGCGCTTGGCTGGAAGCTACCGGATCTGGTCCCCAGGCTCTAGAAATCAAACCTGGAGGAAGTAGGAATGGAACTTTACAGTATTCTCTTCTTCAAGGCTTTGTTTAGAGCTCAGAAAAGTTCGTTTCGACTGGAAGACAACAAGTCCCCTAATTCTCTGGCCGATGTGGCTGAAGGTTCTGGCAGCTGTTGTCAAAAACCATGGATTTTCGAGGCCGAGTTTGCTCCTTGTGAAGATACGGAGAATACAATTAGCGCCAAACTCCCTGGCCATAGGACACCACTGGTTTCTTCGGGTCAAACTCCGGAAAGGCTAACCACAGGGAGCCCTGGGTTCAAATCCCTCCTCTCCACGCCCTAGAGTGGATCCTGGAGGAGCTTCACACCCTCCCTCCCTCCCTCCTTCCTTCTTGGGGCTGTTGTGTTGAGCAAGAGGAGGGTCGGTGGGACCCAGTCTTGAGTCCCCCCTGGAGGAAGGAGGCGACTCCGAGGGGCAACAGGGGGGCCTTCTTCTTTCCCCCTCGGCCTTCTCCCCTCCCACAAAAGCCCCCCCTTTCCTTCCCTCCCCCAAGGCAGGCCTCCCCTTCCTTTCCCTTCGAGGCGGGGAAGGGGGCTCCTTCAGGGCTCGGCCTAACCCACCGGGGGGGGG